TCCCGCTGCCGCGCCGGGCTCTCCTCCCCCAGCCCCGCGCCCGGGGATGCAGAAGCATCTTCTCCCACCGCAGCTCACGTAGAAGGCAAAACCAAGCAGGTTTGTCTCCAGGTTTCCTTAAAAAAACGGGTAGCAAGGTGTATCTCCCAGCCGGAGCTTTTCATGCATGACCTTGTGTCTGATTTTAAAATCAGACAGGGGAGAGAGGGGGGAAGGAAAAATCCACGCTTCTTGGCTTCTGTGTCACAGAGGCGAGAAAATTATCTTCGGATGTAAAGTACATGGCACATTTCTGAGAGCCACATGTGCCAAGCCTGGCTCTGGAGCCCTGATCTGCAGAGCCCCACTCGGAAAAAAATAATAATTCACTTCTGCCATGGCTCTGAGTGGTAAAATGGCTTCTGCGTTTTGAAGAAGCACTAAGTACAAATCACCAGGGACATTTTACAGTGCCAAAGGTTCCTGCTTGTCATTTTGTACTTTTCCCCCGTTTGAATTACCTCTCAGCACAGTATCAGTTATAATTGTGCGAAGTTCAGTTTAAGGATCTACGAGAAAGAGAACTCTCCTGTGCTGGATACTTCAGAATAACCTTGACCTTTGATTAGTGCTTATCCTACAAGATAAGTCATGCAGGGAAAGCATGGAATTGGGCAAGGCACCTGCAAAAGCACAAATGAAATGGCTCTATTTTTAAACTAGTGTTAAAATGGCTTCTGAATCTGACCAAACAAGGGGCACTCAGGGGCTAAAAGACAAAATCTGGAGCTCGGTGGCAAATTTCAGTTTGACACAGAGAGGACCCCGAGCCAATTTCCTCATCCCCTGATACATTTTGTGCCGTGGGTGCAACCAGACTCAAACTGCCAGAAAGGGTAAATTCCCTCTGAAAGAAAATGAATCAGCCAAAAGTATAATCAGCTTTTCAGGGAAGTACAAGACCACTGAACCATGTTTCCAGTTACATTTCTTTGTTCCTCTGTAACTGTTTTCTGGTATTTGCAGCAGTAATTATAAGGGCCACTAGCATTTATCAATCTTTTAAATTAAAGAAGCCTAATTCGGGGTAGGAAGCTTGAAACATTTTCTTCACAGTGCAGCCACTAAGAGGTTAAAGCCGATTCACAGCTCCTCTGAAAGTTTTCCTTCAGCAGATAGTGCCTATCAAGATGGTCTTTCTTTCTCCTGTTACACCCTGAGAGGAGGAAACGGGGCAGCATTTCTACTGCCATACAGCCCTCTTCACTCCTCAATATTAAGATTATTACCAGCACAATGATATTTTAAGGAACACTTTTACATACACGGAGCTAATGAACATTTAAAGGAAAAGATACACAGCACAAACCACAATAAAATGCAATGCCTTGTAGGAACACTGTGTATTCAAAAGCTTTTCAGGGTTTGACCTTAATGAAACACAAGAGCAGTCCTGGGTACAGATCACATTTATATGCAGAGTATATTGCAGGCCCGAATGAGGGCTTCTGCTAAAGTTAATTGTAATTTTCTGGTGAGGGAGGATCCATGTTCAGGCCTGAAGTTATTAACATCTATTCTGATGGAAATAGGGACATTGGGACACACTTTGTCAAATCAAAAAAGAGTACTTTCTGCTTCAGATCTGTTACCCTAGAGGTGATGTACCACCATTTGAAAATCTGCATTTCCAAATCGGGCATGCCAGGATGGGACTGAATTGATCAGTCAGGAACTTTTGCTTGCATCTAGTAATGCTGGAGAACAGGCAGAGATGTTCAGTCCACACTAGCTGGAATATACACAGGCCTGGAAACCAAGCTTTTAATTGTAAATGCTTCTTACAGAATGGACTTTTGAAATTTTTCTGAAAGGAGAAGTACACTCTGCTAGAAAAAGCAGCTTTTTTCTCTGTACATAACATAGTCCTTGAGGGTGTGACTGTAGGTACACAAACAAAGCTGTATTTAATCTCCCTAAGAGAATTTTATAGAGAACATCTGTTAAAGAGAGAAGTGTATTTGTTTCAGGAGAGCTGTAACATTTAGAAATATCACCTCCTTGCACCAACATATATAGTGTGTTGTCTGTGTATTTTTCAGATGTTATTTGTTTTAGCTCCTGTAAAATAAGGGCTGCAGAGCTGTGCTACACTTTGATACAGTCACAGTATTCACAATCCAGCACTGTATGCAAGTATTACAGAGAACAACAATTTCCTTCCTGTACGAGCATTTTAATTTATGGAAACATACTGTTTTGTGTAAAGAAGGTAGTAGATAATTAACAGTATTCATTTAATCTAATTATAGGCCTCTGAGGCAAAAAGCTGACACTTTTC